AATACTTTGGAGGGGGTATCTGTAGGCATCAAAAAATGCTGAAAGATATCCAAATACACCTCAAGAGAAGATCATCCAAAGATCAAAAGAACACAAGGAACAATGTAGACTGTCTGGACACGCGAGACAGTGTTTACTGTCTCGCCGTGCGAGATAGTGTTTACTGTCTCGCAGTGCGAGACAGTGTTTACTATCTCGCACGCGAGACAGCTTTCGAAGGATCAGAAACCATTTTGTATAACCGCCGATACGTGTCCATTAACTGTCAAAGAACATGAGAAACGTCGTGGGTGAGAATCACATGGATAACTGTCAAAATAACGGAGTTTGAAACGTGGGAAGGCAGTTACAGTGGAAACCACTGGGCAGTTGGGTTTTCCGAGACAGTGTTTACTGTCTCGGAACCTGAGACAGTAAACTCTGTCTCGGCCGCCGAGACAACAAACACTGTCTCGGTCGTCGAGACAGCAAATGCTGTCTCGCGGGCACGTTTCCTCTAAAACTTTGTGTTTTTACTTGAACTGTTCTTGGAGGCTATAAACACCCCCTAGGGTCATTACTGACGAAGAGCATCGAGCAAATTGGAGCAGATCTGAGCATAGAGAGCAGAGAGAAAACAACAAGAATTGAGTTCCTCGTATGATTCCTTGAGATTCGAGCTTTGACTTGATCTTAAGAAGAGTGATCGTCTTACTTTGATAAGATATTCACTTCAAATTCCTACTTCGATAAATGAAGGAAGAATCTCTAAACCCCTCACAATCTGTGATTTGGTGGTCCACGAGTCAAAGCACTCCCGGCACAGGCAAAGATCTCGCGCAAGCAGCGATCCAAACAACGATCCTGCGTTTGTTTCTAAGGAGTTTGTAATTTGATTTTTGTTGTAAAGAGTAGTTTTACAAAGTACGAAACTTACTCCTTTGTATTCATTGTAATCGATAAACGGTTATAATGAATTCTACAACAGAACATATTCCTAACGCAAACAACAACTAAAGCTGGAAAAACGGTGAAGATGATTTACGGGGAATTTTTGACATACTCCTTTCTTTGGCCCTCTGTAATGACCGTAAAATTTTTATACTAGTTAAAATAAATTTTTGGTATTTTAAAATATTTAATTATAATTTTTAAAAGAGTATTTGTATTTTTTCTCGATTTTCTAGAAATTTTCTATGATTTAAAGTCTAAGTTTTATATTTATTTAAATGGTTTTGATATTTATAAATTTTTGATATTTATAAATTAATTTAGTGCAATGAAAATTTTTGGGATTTATCCGTTGTGTTACTGATACTATTACGTATTATTTTAAATAATACGTCGTATTATTATTACTATTACGTATTAATTCTTACATTATGTTGAATTATTAATTACGTATTATTTGTGTAAATTATTATATTATTTTAATTATTACGTATCAGCTGTCGTATTAGCATAACTGGTACGTTTTATCGTGTAGATAATTGTCACATAATTATTTGATTTTAAATGTAAGTTAATATATTATTATTATTATTATTTATTCTCGTTTAATTATATAATATGTGTATATTTCGACTATTTCGTATCAACTGTTGTATTAACATAACATGTACGTTTTTATTTGTAGATAATTATTCTGTAATTGGTTTAATTTTTAATACCCGTAACTATTTATTTAATTATTTTTGTTTAAATACCTGAACCCATTTGAAAATAATCCAGAATTTTGCTTCCCGCGTCAAACCCCCAACAACCATTCCCCTAATCACGTTCTCTCCCTCCTCATTTTTCCAAGAAGACGGCTATCCACACGCATCATCTTTTAATATTTTATTTTATTTTTATTTTTTATTCAAAAAAACTTTTCTATTTAAACCCTCACCCAACTCCTCTCGTGCTCACCCAGTTTCTCTCTCTCTTCTCCCCTCTCCTCCTCTCTCTCCTCTCTCTCTCTCTCTCTCTCTGTCTTCCTCTCTCCATCCTCGAAGCCCCTTAACCGCCGCCAGCTCCACGCCGACGAGCCCGCAGCCTCCACGAAACCGACCACAGCCAGCCCGCGTCCGGCCTCCCCGCCCGAGCCCGCCCCCCACCCTGTCCTCAGCTCTCCACCCTCAGCCCCAGCACTTCGCCGCTCCTCAGGCCTTGAGCTCCACCACAACTGCCCTCCCCGCAGTCAGCCGCTCGCCGCTCCCCACCTAAACCCTCCGCTGACTGACCACCGTTTCTTCCCGCCAGATTTCCTGCCCCAGTCGCCATCCCCCACCAAGCCGCAACCCCAACCTCCGACCAACTCCCCAGATCTCCGACCAGCCTTCACGCTCGCCCGACCCGCCGTTCGCCGCTCCTTCGACCCAGGCGCCGCCTGACCACCTCAGACCCCACAGCCTCGCCAAAGCCCCAGCCCGCAGCCCCATCTCCTCTTCGACGCCCCTCTCCACCCCAACAACCCCTCCACCGCCGCCATCCTCACGCCGCCGCCTGGAGCCGCCGCTCAACTCCTACAGCGCCCCTCCGAGCTCCCTGTCGATCTCCTCCTCCCTGTCGCCACCACCCGCACCGGCGACGCTGACCTACCTCGTCGCCTCTGCAGCTTAGCTCGCCCCCCAGCCACTGTCCTCCATCGACATCGCCGACGACTCTCTTCCGCTGACGACACTCCCCAACAACTCCGACCGACGATCTTCAGACCCGCGGACTCGCGTGTCAACGTCGATACGTTCAACGAACCCGAGGCAAGATCCCTATTCTTGCTTAGTACAATTTTAGATTGATCACAAATTAATTATGAATAAGAACTCGTTACCCGAATAATTACTCGTTACAAATATAGAACTGTCATGAACATATTAAACTAAGAACTATAACGTATAGAACTATTGTGAACGAAATGGACTGTGGACAATAACGTATGACCATTCACGTTGTAATACATATACTGTGATGACCTGCATGGATTTATTTGACGAATGATATTAAAAAGTACTAAAAATAATATTTTGATAATAGATACTGTAAAGATAAAATAAAATAAAATTATTTTAGATTAATTATAATTTTAAAGAATTTATTGACAAAATAATCAATTTAAAATAATTACTATTTTGGTGAAAAATCATTTTAGAGTAATTATAATAAATTAATAGAATTTATTTGATAAAAGAATTATTTTAGAATAATTATAAATAATTTAAAAGAATTTATTTTAGAATAAGTATCAATTTAGAATAATTTCAATAATTTAAGAAAGTTTTATAAAAGAAATAAGTTAATGTTCATGTGGTCGGATAAGACTGTTGATGTATCTTCCAGGCTCGCGCCAGTGGTTGGTGTCGCCACTGGGGTTGGTTTGTAGGGCTAAAGTGAAGTGTGTACATCACTTTGGTCAGTGGGAATTTATTTCGTCACCTGAGTTCTGTTTGAAGTTCGGACCAGACAGAAACGGATTGCGTGCAGTCCTCTAGGCCGCATGTGTAGCGGGATTGGATGCACGTAGAGGATTTGTGAACAGTCAGTTATCCGGTAATATGAACGTTGACTCTGTGTGAGATGTGACCAGTGACCTATTATAGAATGGCTAGTTACATGACCTTGTTTCTTGGCTATGTATGAATTCTTGTGAGATACGGACCAATTATGTTTCTTTTCATACATAGATTAGGATTAATATTTAATTATCTACAATTTAAGACATATGGTATATACATGAGGGTTTCCTTGTTTGGATTATTTCGCTCGACGTACTATGTCTCGAGTTGTAGATTTTTAAGTATTAATTCCATCTAGTGTATGACTCTGTACTTGGATGATTATTCTGATCGCTAGCTGCATGATCGACTTGTTACTTGGTTGATTTTCTTAGATTTATTCTGATTATTCTAATTTATAGTAGTAAATCATTTTAGATTATTAGTATTTCAGTTGCATCTTTCCATTGTTATTACCATTATTGCATTGGTCGCACGACCGTCCTATTCTTCCTTTTGGGATCTTGCTGTGTGCCATACACGCTGACGTACACCTGTTTCCTCTGGTGTACGTCAGATTTATATGATGGTCAGCTTCAGTTCGGAGTCATACAGGAGCCAGAGGATTTCCCGCAGGAGTGCTCTGCAGACCGAGCAGAAGAAGACGAAGCTTAGTTATTGGTCCTCCATTTACTTTTGTAGCACCTTCCATTCTGTTGATCGATGTATTTTATATTTTCTAGCATTTCTTTCAGATAGTCTTGTATAAGGGCATGTTAAATGGAATATTATGCATGGGATGATATTCAGTTGTGATATGTATATTTTCTGTTCTGTGTTGTTCATTATATTCTTGCTATCTGTGATCGGGGACCTGTGCATTTGCATTGTATTTATTTCCAGACGCTTAGCGTATTAGATTGAGAAGACGGGGTCTAGCACTTATCTCTCCTCAGTTTAATACGTCGCGTGCTTGCTCGCGTCCCGATTCCCTGATATTTTGGGAAGCAGGGCGTGACACCCTCTCTGGTTATCGTAGGAAATAGGGGAGTGAGCTCATAGGAATGAAACTTTTGAACTCAAATTTTGTGCTTGAGAAATGCTTACGTTTTGTTTAGATAGATGTGAGTTCATTCATTGTAACTATTAGGACTTGAATCATTATGGGTTAAAAATAATATCAATGTTTAATGCTTCATAATCTCCTACTTTGTTGATATTTTTTTCTTTAACACATTATGTTGTTTGATAACAAGTTTGATGAAGTTAGAACCGAACAAGCCGAACGGAACAGCACCGAACCGACTTGCAACGATTCGGTTCGATTTTGAATTATAGGCGAACGGGTTCAGTTGTTCAAAATTTGGTAAAAACCAAGCCGACTGACCGTTTGCATACCCCTACTTGGTTAGATTGGGTGTTGGGGTGGTGATAAAAACCGGATCTTCTTTTATGATCCAAACCCGACCCAATAATACCCTAGAAATCCAAACCCGCTCCAATTCCCACTTTTGCTTTATTATTATTATTATTATTATTATTATTTCTTGGCCTCTTCCTCCAGCTCTCTCTCTAACCCTTAACAAAGCTCAGCGCTAATTGAAAACCCATTTTTCTATATTTCTCATCATCGTCTTCCTCCTCCGCCATGGATTCAATCGAAGCGCTGGTGGTCCACATCCAAGCCCTCTCGAGTAATCCTCAGGATATCTCTCATCTTCACCCTCTCCTGAAGCAATCCGACGACTCTCTCAAGTCTCAGGCCCCTCGCCTCGCTCCCTTCTTCGATCGCCTCGACCCCAAGAATGCAGCTCTCTTCGGGCTCTTTCTATTCTTCTGATAACTCTCCTTTCCTGATTCTTTGGGGCCTTTTTGAGTTGGGTTTGCCTAGTTTTAGGGTTTTTTTGAAAAAAATTGCATATGAGCTGATTAAGATGTAGTGTTGTTTTGGTTTCTGTTTCTTTTTTGGTGGCCGTTGGTTTTGTGGTCTCTCGGATTTTTAGGGCAGTGGGGTTCTTCCCTTTTAGTTTGGCATATAGATTTTGTTCAAGACTGAGAGAATTGGCCCCCCCTTTTTGTTGTTGTAATTATGGAGTCTGTACTATTGTGCACATGATTTTTAGGAATACTATCCTGTTTAGCCTTAGGCGTAGGTTCATTTTGGGCCTTTGGTTAGTGTTATTTTATACATTAGGTTATATTTGTGCGAGAAAGGATGAGTCTACTGTGTAGTTATATTGATTCGAGACAGTGTAATTTCCTCTTCTTCTTCTTCTTTTGGTGGGAGTGGAATTTGAACCTCGGATATCTCTGTCTCACTCAGCTTTTCTAATGAAACAAGCAGCTGTATCAAACAGCAACACAGTTTAAGTAGGAAGACTAGTGAAAGCTGAGTGAAGCAGTTCTACTCTTCTTCTTTGATCCCCTGATAAGGAGTAATAAGTTAGGGACTCAGGCACATATCTGATTTAGTTGTTAGTTGAGAGATTCTTCAGAGATTATTAACATTCATTTGCGTAAATGTATGGTTTTGCAGGGACGCATTCTCAAGTAGACCAATTATAAGAGAACAAGCTAGCGGTTTCCTCGTGATTGTCGTCAACTTTATCAATTCATGCTCAGAAGAGCAGATTCGGTTGGCACCTGAGAAATGTATGATACCATAACATACTTGGTCATTCAATCTACTCTATCTGCATGAACATTAATAAGCATATAACTCCATTTACTGCCCCATGTGTGCAGTTATATCCATCTGCAGGAGGTTCAAGGATCAAATAATGCAGCTTCAAGCGCCAATGAGGGGAGTAGCCCCCTTGCGGACTGCCATCCGTAAGCTTCGGCCTTCTTCTGAGCATTTGACAGCTCTACATGCTGACTTTTTGCTTCTATGTATTCTATCAAAGCGCTACAAAGCGGCACAAAGCATCCTAGATGAACGTGTATTTGAGTTTGATCTTCCAAGAGATCTATTTCTCTATTGTTACTACGGGTTAGTCCTGCACCATTATTTATATCATTGTTCATTACAATAAGCCATTGCCCATTAGTAAAATAATGATTTTTCTTAGCATGCTTATCTTTATCTAGAAATTGCTAGTGCAAACCAAGGACAGTTCAACTTGTCGTCACCTAATCTGGTGTTTTTATTGTAGAGTTATTATAAATTCCGGACACTCTCTCTAATTGTTAATTGGAGTAAGTAACATTGTTTCAAGGAAAGTAATTGTGTAAAAGTATTTAGATTGTGATTTCAATCACAGAACATTTTGAAATTTTTATAGATCAGCTTGTTGAGTTGTTTTATCACTTTCCAAGCTTTTTTCTCAAAAAATGGTCAGTGAAGCACCAGAATTCCAAGTAAAATGGGTGTAGCAAAGGATCAACCAAACTTTCTTGACTATTGTTTACCTTCATCCCGCTTTGATTTGGTATCAAATTTTTATTCAACCTTCAACTTTAAGCCTGTGCATGACTTGCCATGATCGGAGAGGCGTAGTCTATTTGTGGGAAGAACTTTACAGTAATTGATCGGAATTAAAATCATGCATAAATGAAGTGACTCTTTCAAATTCCCTACCTTAGAAAGCGAGTGTAGCCGATGAAAGAGGATCACAATCATACTTATAGCAAATTTAAGTTACCCTAAAGTGATTAAAAATAAAGAGTGGAGAACTACAGGGATGATGGATGAGTTTTAGGAAGTAGTGATGGATCAGAGGAGTTGGACAAGGGGTGGATAAAGAGATGAAAATTGAGAATTTGGGATGAAAGCACCTATGTAGATTTTAACAGAAAACACTATTGTAGGTTTTAACAGAGAACACTAATGTGAATCTATTTGGCTTAATCAAAGGATTTTGTGTGTGTGTGTGGAGGGGGGGGGGGGGG